GTCCACGTCAAATATGTCAACATTTCAAGGCCTAACAAACAAAAAACTCACTTGAAAGCTACAATCCTTCCTGCCTGAGGCCATAATACAGTCATGCTCTCAGGGTCACCTTCACTGGGCTCAAAATAGCCCCAGGGTCCCCAGCCCAGCCCAGCTGACACCAGGACCCAACCTGCCCCAGCAGCACCAGTCTGGCTCCAGTGGTGGGGCCAGTGCAGCACACTGGGAAGGCAGAACTCATCCCAGACATGCCCAGGGGCAGGAACACAGCTGCAGGGCTGCCAAGCCATCCAGCCTTGAGGCTGAGTGACTTTACAAGGTGGCCTAGCAAGGCTGGCTCTGTGTCTCCAGTAAAGAGACACAGCTGGATGAAGAGCTGGATGCTCCAGTCCAGCCCAAATGCCCTCTCATGGAAAGCAAGGCATGGGGAGAAGGGGACAGGGTACCTCTGCCTTGACAGCAAGACCCAGGACCGGGATTCTACAGTCCACAGTGTAGAGTGAGCAACAGTTACAGACAAAACTCCCAGCCCAAAAGCTTATCTATACTCCACCTGTATTACTTGCCTAAAAAATAGTCTTAGCCACCTTGGATTTTTTTTTCCCCATGATGTTTCCAAGGCAAAAGAACAGACATTATCAAGCAGGTTTGATGACTATAAAAGAGAAATATCCTATCACTCAACACTCACATAGTCTTTTTTGTCTCTTTCTCCATGTAAGTTCTTAGCTGTAAACAAAGGAAAACAGACAAAATAAATTACAGAGGAAGATGTACTTCAACAAATAGATATAATTTTTTTTTCCTAAAACTGTCTCAATTCTGTTTATGCTGGGAGACAGCACCCTCCATTCTCTTCAAACAACAAACCAACTCTGAGCTAATCGTGCAATTCCTGCAACCAAGGTCACGAGCCTGGTTTTGCTGGAGCAGGCACTGAATGCTGTATCCAGGGCAGAACTCAAAACCTCATTTAAAATGGGCTAAGAACCAACAATTTAAGTAATTTGCTGAACAGCAGGAAAAGCACTTAGGGAATGTTTTTCTCTCAAAAGGAAGGAGGAAAGTTGGAAATCTTGTGGGTCATTTTGAGTGCTTCCTGCAGAGGAAGCCATGGGAGAGCTGTGCTGCAGTGACAGAGCTCCTCCCCACCAGGGTGAAACCAGGACTCTTCTCCATCTCCTTGAGGCTACACCCAACCAGGAAAGAGGGTAGTTCAAAGAGAGAAGGGATGGCTCACCACTCAAACCCATGTGCAAAAATCAAAGTCATTTCCCAGCTGTGACCCTCACCTGGGGTGTCCGTGCCTGAAGCAGCAGCTGTGACCCCACACCCTGTGCTGTGTGTGCAGGAGGGAGGGAGGGATGTGTGCCAGGGACAGTGGCAGGGCCCTGACAGCTCTTCCTGGGAACACATTCCTCCTAATACCCAACCCAAACGCCCCCCAAAGTCTGAGGCTCTTTCCTCTTGTTCTATCACTTTATCTGTGAGCAGAGACCGATCCCCGCGTGGCTCCTGCCAGGGAGTGCTGGAGAGTGAGAGGGGCCCCCCGAGTCTCCTTTTGCCAGGCTGGGTGCCCCCAGCTGCTCCTCCTCAGTCCTGTGCTGCAGACCCTTCCCCAGCTCTGCTGCCCTTCTCTGGACACACTTCAGCCCATCAACATCTTTCTTGTCACAAGGGGCCCAAAACTGAAGCCAGGGTTTGGGGTGTGGCCTCACCAGTACCCAGCTCAGGGGACAGTCACTGCCTTGATTTCTGCCCAGCATGAGCTGCTTTGATTTGCACTGTGTATTTGGTATAAATTAAAGCTCTGCTGGAGCCAGCTCCTTCCTGTGCCAAGGGACCTCCCATATTGATGCTTGTTATCACCAGGCTGTCCCAAACTACAATTTTATTGCCCAGAGAAAGATGATGCAACAGCTGCATGGGAAGCATCAGCTATTTTATGCTATGCTGTTTATTGTTTCAGAAAAGCAACTTTCAGAATGGAATGGCTGCTGCCATGCTTACTGACCTCCTCAAGAAGGCTTTTGGCTGTGCCTTTTCTTTCCTCTAAGGGGGGGGGGGGAAATATCAGGATGAGAAAATTGGTGTATGGTAGTGAAAAGGAGAAATCGAGCAGGGCTGTCCCTGATCAGGCTCCTCCTCTGCACCCATTCTGGCTTCTCCCAGAGGCTGAACTCCAAGGGTTGAGCAGATAAGACAATCAGTTTCTGTATCTTATCCCTTGCCCATTGCATTATCTCAGCACAAACAGCTGATTTCTCCACTGCTCAGTTAAACTCCCTCGAGGGAGCAGCAGCCAGGGCATTGCCTGAGATCAAACAGGGCTGGGGAGCTGGTCCATCCTGCACTGGCACTGCTGGCAGAGGTGGCAACACCCCCAGGAAGGGAACATTGCCCCATGCCAACAACTCGTTTGGAATGATAATGTCTGCCTGCTGTTTTTTCCCTGGAGCTCCCAGTTACCCTTCTCTTCAGGGACATAGAACCAGTTCAGCTTTATCAGCTCCAGTCACTTCCATCATCACTAACCTCACTCATGACAGTATTACACCACCCCTCAGCAAAGAAAGGATGGCAGCTGCATTTGGGCTCCTGAGGACAAACATTCCTGCAGCTTTTCACGGGCTTGTGAAAAGCCTTGCCAGATAGGCACGGGTAGTGACAGTCGAATAAATTAAAGGCACATTGACACATGTTAAAATCAATGTCATGTTTCCAGAAAGGCCAGTTCAGTTCCTCCCATCAGCAGGTGCCACTGCCTCTAATGACAAGCAGGTAATTAGCAGGCTGCCCAGGCCGGTGCTGGCAGGACCATGGAGCTGTCCCTCAGCATCCTGGCTCTGCAGGGCTGGGGCAGGATGAGCCCAGGACCTCTGCATCTTTGATTTCTAAGGCTCACATTTCCCAGGAAGGAGCAGTATTTCAATTGTCCCCAGGAAGGACATTTTTTAAGTTTGCAGGACATGGAGGTCACCAGGTAAATGCTTTAGGTAGCCAGAATATAACAAATGCCTTTCAACAACTCTTATGGGAAACCCAGAGAAAAGAAGGCAGAGGTTTAAAGTTTGTCACCTCCAAATCTTCTTGTTCTGCACCTTCCACCATCAGGTGGTGCAAAGGCAAAAGCTGTTTCATCTGAGGAGCCTGAGCCCTGTCCAGAGGTCAGCAGCCACCTCTGACACACTCAGCACAGTGCTGTTATTCAAGACGATCCCTTCCCTGTAACACTCACGGAAAACTGGTTTTGCAGCTCTTCAGTCATGCTAATTTGCTGATGGAAAATAAGGTGTTTGTAAGGGAAAGCCAGTTAAGTGGGCTTTATCCAGTTTAATCACTGTGTTAATTTATAGGAGATGAGCACCATTTAAGCTGTATAATAGTATATAAACCTCCTTAAGTAGGGTTCACTTAGAACAAAAACATCTCACCCATGAAACCACCTTCTCTCCAAGAGTGTCCCTCCCATCAGCTGCCAGAGGTAAAGAGAGAGGAGAGGCTGCCCTGAGGCTCTTCACCACAACCACGAAAGTCAATAAAGTCACACCAGGCGTTCCCTTTTCTCCAGGGACGCGGTTTCAGCTGGGAGAGGTTTACTTGGGCAGCGTAAGTTGTAGACATATCTTGCTAAAATAAAAGCAAAGGCTCTGTAAGGCAAAGGGGTCTGACTCCAACTCCTCTGAAGTTACCGAGCACTTTTAGCAGCAGCTTAACTGCCCCTCAGGGGAGGAACCTCACATCTCCTTTGCCTGTTTCTTCAATCAAATCCACCTGCAGTTTCTCTACCACACCCAGACCACTTCTGCTCTCCTGCAAACCCCTCTTCTGCATCTCTGTTCTAGAAATAACCCCCCCTCCAGATTTCCTCTTGTTATAAATGGCAATACAGTTATTGGCTTTTGCATTTATGTATTGATCGCAGCTGTTGCTAGAGGAACAAACTGAATTTCATCTGCCAAGGCACGGGTAAAGCACCCTGTCCTCACTGGTCTCCATCCTCAGCAATTTATAGTGTAGTCAGTCCAGCCTCAACATTAGCCCCTTATCCCAGCAGTGGCTGCTAAACCCACATTAACGCCTCACCCCCTTCAGGTTCCTGACCTTTTCTTCACACTCTGGCTCCACCAGCAGCAACCTGTACCAGAGCTACAATCAATACTCAACTTGACATAGAACAGAGAGAAATTAAATTTATAGTTTATTATAATTTGTGCAAATCAGCTTATACTTGGGCAAGTAATCTTTACAAAATCTGCTCCCCTTCCCAGATATGAATTCCTTGCTGGAGTTAAGAAGGAGGTTGGGCAGGCAGCGCTGCTCCAAGGAAAGAACTACGGAACTACAGCCATCTGAGAGCCAAGGGTCAGTCCTTGCCTCCCTCTTGGATGAAAGAAAATAAATGAACACAGAAAGGAAAGCCAAGCTGAGGCAGTCACCCAGGTCACAACACTTTCAGCTCAAACAACTAAAGCTGGCTTTAGCAAGATTGGACCTTGCTGTGGGATAAACTGAACCATCATTGACCAGCTGCTCCCCAGCACTTCGGGACACGCTTGCACCAAAGAAACCCCCCGACCAGAATAATCCCAGAACCACAGCACGGTGTGGGTCATCAGGACCATAAAGCTCGTTCAATCCACTCCCAGCCATGGAACCAGACCAAGCTGCTGCAAGCCCCATCCAACCTGGCCTTGAATAGGCACCCACAGCTTCTCTAGACATCTATGCTAGTATCCTACTGCCTTCGAGAGATAAATACACGCGAAGGTCAGACTTCAGAGCTCCACCGGGAGCTCGCAGGACCCAGCCCTGGGGTGCAGGACCCGGCAGCGCCCGGAGCGGGGCGGAGCGGGGATCCCCGACCGGGCGAGCACCGCTCCGAGCTCGCACCCGCCCGCGGCTGGAGGAGGAGGAAGAGGAGGATGAGGAGGATGAGGAGGAGAAGGGAGCGCCGGGGCCCGGGCAGGGACTCGCCGCCGCAGCCGCTCGCTCGCTCGGTGCCCGCTGCCAGACGCGCGGGGCCCGCAGCCCTCCCGGCCCGCTCCGCTCCCCTCACCTGCCGGGGCCGCCGCCCCCAGCCCCGCTCCGGCCGCGGCCCCGCTCCGAGTGACAGCGCTCACCGCTTTCGCTTTCCCTTTCCTGGCCAAGGAGGGGCGGCCCCGGCTGCCGGCCGCCCTCGGGGAAAGGTCTGGGGGAGCAGGGGCGGGGGAGCCCGGGGGGACCGGCCCGGAGCCGGGGCTGCGAGCGAGCGGCTCCCCCTGCCCGCCTCTCACACAGCGGGTTTGTCCCTTCCCCCGGGCCCGGCCGCGATTGTCGGTGGAGAAGCGCTTGGGCTGGGCGCCGGAGGGACCAGAGGGGTTCAACAGACGTGTACAGATGTGGCACTTGGCGACGGGGCTTAGAGGTGGGCTTGGCAGTGCTGGGAAATGGTTGGACTGGGCGATTTTAGAGGCCTTTTCCCACCCGAACGATTCTGTGAGTCCCTGTAGATAGGGCAGACCCAGCTCCCACAAGGTCATTTACCTTGTGGGATTTGACGTGAAGGTACTTGGGATGGTGGGAGTGACTTCTTCATGGGAAAGCAGCAACCCCACTACAGGAGAGCTCCCTCTGACCAATGCCCTCTCTGCAAATGAGAGCAGGAGCTATATGAACTCTGGCGGCTTGGATAAAGCTATCAGAACACTGAAGAGTTCTTATGGCTAAGAACAATTAATGGATAAATCAAAAGGAAATTAAGTTGGTTCACCCCAAGGGCAAAGAACCTTCCAGATGGTCACAATTAAGATACTTCAAGAAGTCTCACTTCTAGCAGAAAGCCAGCACTGACACAGCCAAGGGGAGAAAAGCTGGGACTCTCAGAAGTGCTTTGCAGGAGCAAGGAACATCCTCCTCAGCTGGTCTGCAATACCCTCCTGCACAGCTGCTCACTCCAGGAGGCAACAGCTGCTACCAGGAATGCTCACTCAGTGACTGCAGGCTTTTACGGTATTTTCTTCAGGAATTTAATCAATTACCCGGTGTTCTTGGACAGTTGCTGCTTATCACTCATTATTTACCTTGCCTCGAAGTAAAGCTGACCTAGGAGCCAGCACACTTGTAGTTTGTTAGAAGTCAGGCAAAGAGTCAAGTGACACAGGTAAGACTTGCTGGCATAACAGGTCAAAGATCTATAGTGCAAGTGAGACAGAAAAACTGTCTCCCTGCAGCTATGGACATCCACCTCCAGAAATGACTGGCTCTACACAGTGCAGTCTCTGGGTGTATTTTTTTTTTCTCTCCTCAGAAGCATTTGTTTCTGCACAAGAATTTCTGGAATGCTGCTCCCAGGATCTGTTCAGAAGAATGACCCCAAACGTAAGAAAAACCAGTGTGCACAGGCTGCTAGAGGCACCAGGGGTTTTACATGAAGCCACAGACTGGTTTGGGTGGGAAGAGACATTAAAGCTGATCTCATTCCAACCCCTGCCATGGCAGGGACACCTTCCACTAGATCAGGTTGCTCTAAACCCATCCAACCTGGCCTTGAATATTCCCAGAGATGGGCCAGCCACAGCTTGTCTGGGCAACCTGTTCCAGGAGGCACTTGTCCCTCCACAGTCGATAATTTCTTTTCAATCTCTTATCTAATCCTGCCCTCTGTCAGTTGGAAGCCATTCCCCTTACCCTGTCATTCCATGCTCTTGTCCAAAGCCCCTCTCCCACTCTCCTGGAGCCCCTTTAGGCACTGGAAGGGGCTCTGAGGATTCTCTGGTGCTTTCTCTTCTCCAGGTGAGCACCCCCAGCTCTCCCAGCCCGGCTGCAGAGCAGAGGGGCTCCAGCCCTCAGAGCATCTCCAGGGCCTCTCTGGACTGGCTCCAGCAGCTCCGGGTCCTTCTGATATTGGGGATCCCAGAGCTGGACACAGCATGGCAGGTGAGGTCTCACAAGAGCAGAGTAGAGGGGTAGAATCTTGTCTCTTGCTGGTTATTCTAAAAGGGTTTCATTCTGCTTTCATTCTGCTCAGATCCTGGGCAGCACATCTGGTTTGCACAAGTGCTGCTGGCACCTCTTGCTGGGCTCCTGAGCACTGCAGGCCTGCTGCTGTTTGGATGCACACAGAGAGCTCTTACACAAAGATCCAGGGTACAGACAGTCCAAGGGATCTCAGACTGGCTGTTAAACAATGAAACTTCATACCAAGAGCCTTTCAATAGATACTAGGATATATTTCTAAACAAAAAAAAAAAATTTAAAGATAAATCCAGATATTTTATTCTTAATTTTACAAATAACAAGCATTTCTCTATTAAAAAAAAAAAAAAAACTAGGGTAAGAATCAGTGTAGGTACAGCTAGGAATATTTACATTCTTAGAAGAAATTTATATATTTTTCTATGTACAAGGCTGTAGCCATTACGGGTTTAAGGTACTCCCAAAAGCATTTCTAAGTAAGGCTTTATGGTCCTAAGCTGATTCTGTGTTTTAAGAAAATAATTTATAACTGCAAGGACTAAGGTTCTATTCTACAAATACTGAAATAGATGTTGCAGTCCAGCTCCCTGGGCAATGCACCCCCTCCCTGTGTACCCACCCACCCCAAATGCTCACTTGCAAAGGCAGGAGAAGTTCACAACCTTCCACAAAATAGTGTCACAAGTCAGCCAAAGCTGCCCCATTGTGGAAGATGAAATACTAAATGATGCTTATGGGAGCATTGCATTCACTGCCAGGAGATCAGAGATTCTAACAATTACTGACTGTGGAGCACAGAACATCACAAGTAGGTGTGGTACCTTTTGAGTTAATGGCATTTCCAAGCAAAGAAACAGAAGTCACAGGATTATCTGACATGCCTGAGAGGATGACAGGAGTCAGCCTGAGAGCTGGAAAGGAAGGGATCCTTGTCCTCAGGGCCATTTGCTGTTCTGTGATTGCTCTCTGGCAACAGGGAATCCTCCCTAACCAGGTAACTGTGACATGCATTGCTGCAGTGTACAGGTTACAGGCACCCAAACCATGCAGGATTTCCCAGGTTAAGTTCAGTCTGAGTGTCAAAGTCTGTTTCATCTTCCTCCTCTGCAGCACAGGCTCACAGGTTTATCACAATTCCTGTTCCAAAGGTCAATTCTGGCCTTTCTCCCTGTTCTGCAAGTATATCTGTAGTCACACTCTGTGCTGCAAATCTTATCTGCTGCCAGCATGGATACCACTCTAAGATTTGCCCATAACTGTATCAGGTCCTTTTATCTGTATCTTGTTTATTAAAATATTCCCTCAGTTTCTTTTGGAGATGCTTGTTACCCACTAGAACAAGATCCTTGGCTTAGAGCTGAACTTGAAAAGAGTAGGATAAAACAGTAAGTACAAAATAACCCAGTCTGCTATTTCAATTATGTTCCACATTTCTGACTCAGACTTTGTGTTTTTAAAAACATAAGCAAGGGAAAAACCCGTTTTTTGACATGAAGTGATTGTCATTGAATTTTGTAGTATTAGTCACAACCAGGAAATCCCCCAATTTGGATTTTAAAAAACTCCCAAACCAACATTAACAACAGATGATCTCACAAAGAACTTTAGTGAACATCAAAATATTTAAATATTCAAGAACAAAAGTCTCTCTTTCAAGGCACATACTTTGATAAAACAATGGGTGAGAAATTACAGCTAAATCAGATGTTAAATGGACACTGCACTTTAGGACTGGAATTTCCAGACTAAATCATCTATCAGGCAAGCACATATCTTACATTTCAGGGCATTTTCTGAAGCTGTTTACAGGAAGAGCCTTATGGGACATGGTTGTTTACATTGGCAAATTCATTACAAGGAAGTTGCAGCTAAATGTGTTTTGCCTCAGATTCCTGCAGTTACCAGATCATTCTCCTGCAACACACACAAAGAAAAAGCTGCTTCTCAATGTTCCAGTTCCTAAACATAAGGTTTACAAAGAAAAATATCTGTACTATGTTTTACAACATACTCTCATGCTTGCAATAAATATTTCAAAAAGGCTGTAAACCTAACAAATCAGGTCATGTTTTTGGGCAAGGGGGGCTGGCTGTTACATGCACTACCCTGACATGTATTTGTTCATGTCAAGGCTGTCCTGTGATGTGCAGTGAGGCTTGTAAAATCCAGGTTCTCAATTTTGGCAGTAGCCTCAAATCTCACAGTGCATTTTAAACCTGCTGCTCAGGGCTTGTCAACCTACTAAAGAGGAGTGACACTGAACCTGCCCCCAGCTTTGCATTTTTTTCCTTGGAAAAGCTGACAATACTGTGGGTTTGGTATCATTCTCTGACCCGGGGACACTGGTCAGCTCCCTGCTGCATTCATAAATGAAAATCCTAAATAAAAAGTGAGAAAATGCAGGAAAAGTGAAGCAAACCCTAGAGCTCAAGACACTGTTAGGAAGAATTTAACCAAACCACTATAGTCTATACAACATTTTCTACTTTCTTCCTGTGACAAGCAGTCCAAGGTACACATCAGTCCCATTGCTGGAGTCCGTTACCAAGGTCACAATTTGGGGTATGGATTAATGAAAGACTGGAATCAGCCAACACCACCTGTATATTTAAACACCATAAGAAAATGCAAAACTTCCCCAACCAGCTGCTGCAGTAGAGTAAGGACCCTGAGAGTTTAGGCTACAAAGGTTTAGGTTGTTTATTATTATTGTCTTAATTTAACAAGACAGAACAAAACACAAGTGCCATGAGAGAGAAACCTTTCACCACTCACATCTGTCACACTGTAACCAGCATAGCACAAATGAGACTCTGTGTACATATATATTGTGTATTTAAAGAAACACAGGTAATGCCAAACTTCCATAACACAAGGAACAGTTTCTTGGCAGACTGACAACAAGATTTGTGGGTTTGTTGGGTTTTTTTTAACAATTTAAAAGCAATTCACTGATTACATAAGTTAAGTGAAACTTAGAATGACCAGACCTCACAGCAATCATATAGTTGACACTTGAAGATGGAGAATCAGGGGTCAGAGATATATTCTGAGTTTTGTTCTCAGTACATTCCACCAGGAGGTAACTGCAGTGGCATGATTAACATAAAAATTTACAACTAAATATATTAATTGTGTGCATGTGTACATGAGTGGGAAAAACACAGAACAAAGACAGGATAATTGTTTCCATCATCCAAATTGCACAGAAAACATTAAAACAATTTATACAAAAAACTTTCACCACACATTGAAAAGGGAGAATGCCAAACTAACACCACTCCCTCTACACACAGGTGAAACCATTTGCATTATTTAGAATAAATCCAGCCTGAAAAAAGGCCATATCCAAGGTCAGATGTAAACAACTTCACCAAGAAGGTACAGTTGAAATCCAGCATTGGAATCAAGTGAATTTTGTGAACAAAATTTCAGTGCTAAATACTTTGTGCAAGACAATCCTTTCAGTCTATGCTGAGTTAAAACATAACAGGTTAGAATTAATTCTCAAAATCTTTCTTTGCATCTTTCTCAATTTGGTAACAAATTCAGCATATGCAAAGTCATTTGAGTAAGATCACGTTGTCATAAACCTTCATTACAATAAATAAGTTTCCTGTCCACAAACAGAAGTCAAGGAACCAAAAGCAATGAGCAACTTTTCCAGGCAATTTTTACCTCTTGATGTAAGCATTAGCTCTGGAGGAGGTTCTCTGAAGAAGCCAGGCACATTGCCAGCCCTTGAACTCATTTTCAAGTATCTTTCAGCTGAACTATACGTGTAAAGTTACAAAAGACTGATCAGATTCTGCTCCATGGTACTACTGCATGAACTCAACCATGGCTGAAAAATCTCATTGAAGCCTACAAAGTATTTATGTTCATATAAAAAGAGAATGTAGGGAACATGGTGTTTAAATTAATAAATAAGGTTCAAATTACAGAAAACAAAGTGTTGTCACTAGCCCTTTCTAGGATAAATTTTAGAAGAAAAGTCCATTTAACTTTCAGTCCACCAGGAAATACATAGGAGTTCCATCAAAAAGCTGTGCTTTTAAAAATCTCTGGATTTTCTTCTTCCTCCTTGGGATCCCTTGTGCTACTAGATGGAGGCCTGTATTCCAACCTAAATGAAGAAAGAAAAAATAAAATAACTTTAAAAACAGATGAGAGAACTTCGAAAAAAAAAACCCTGAGTCCTGTCTGAAAGGACACAGCCTCCTAATTTTAATATCCTGTTGACTTCATGTGAAAAGGTCCCTTTCTTACACCACATCTGTGCTCATCTTCAATCAGAGCCACGGCAAAAGGCCAAATGCTCTCAGTGCTTTTTAGATCAGCTGAACTAAACTGGAAGAGTTCAGCTCTTCCCCAGCACTTAGGAGACTTTCAGGACCTAGTACATGTCCCTACACATTGATAAAACAGCACACTTTCAATAAAAGTACATCTGAGGAATGCCTTTTAAGTCATCAGAGTAAAATGATAAATTTGGAGCTGAGAGATGTACACATGAACATTTACACTTGGGAAGAGGAACTAAGACTTCAGCTAAGCTTTTGTATTTTCAACAGAGGGCTGCCTTTGCTACCAAAACCAGCCTCTCCCTCTGACCATACCTAGGCAAAACCAATCCTCAGAGCAGAGGATGTTAAAGCAGGTGGCACTTACCCTTTGACCCTCAGCATTTGATCAATGGTGTCAGGAAGAGGCATACCATAGCTTTCAGGCAGGAACAGTGTGAGAATTCCTGACAGCACAGTCAGGCTCCCCATCAGGATGTAAGGCAAAAATCGATCATAGGCACCTATGTAAAACAAAAAAAGAAAAGAAAGAAACAAAACAAATTAAAAAAAAGCTGCATCAGCTCTAAGTTTCTGATAATTGAGAGATGCTGTGGATGCCCCATCCCTGAAGTGCTCAAGACCAGGTTGGACAGGGCATGGGGCAGCCTGGTCTGG